GTAAAATGTTGGGAGAAAACCAGACTACAACACCTGTCGTCATCCAATCAGGAATTTCTTTTGTTTACTATGGGTTGAGAGCATAGTGTAAATATTAATGTTGAGAGCTGATTGGTTGAATGAGAAAAGTCCTTCATGTGTCTGTCCGGAAAAAAAATAAAAACAAATCTGATTAAACAGTTAGATGTTGTTTGAAAATTAGTACCGTAGCTAAAATTTGCTCATAGCATTTGATTTTTTTCTTGAGAAAGGGAGAAATTGAAAGTGACATTTAAATGTTTTGTCCTACAACACATTTTTCTTGTTTAAAGAGCGTACTAATTACTCTTAAGTCTTTGAAAAAAGTTGTATTAATTCAATTTAAGATATATTTTTTGCAGTGCAGGTGTTTCTATGTGATGTTTGTTGCCATTTTTCATGTTTTTCACAGCTCTAAAATCTGGCTTAAATTCTACACAATAGAAAATGGTCGTTTTCAGAATCACTAATGCGAATGTCTTGTTGTACGTACATTACATTTGGTTATTCGATCTAAATGTAATGTTAATGTGAGGATTAATTGATCAATCTATTTTTTTTTTTTCACCAATCGAAAACTATTTTAGTGAAAGTAGGAGATTTTATCCAAACAAAGCATGCGGAGATGAAATGTGGAGGCAAAAACACACACACACGAACAGCTAATTTAGCATATTACGTCCCCTTTAACACAAGAACGCCCATAGCTGTAATTCTGACGGCTTTTCGTTTGGAAGTGTAATTACTCCGCTTATATATCTTTATGCAAATATCAAAATAGGATCTTATCTCTGCTTTGACCAAATGAATCATGGCAACATTTCCAAATAAAATCTTTTTTAGTGACAAATTGACATATTAACAAACATTTGATCTGCCCCATCACCATTAAACGGCTTTTCATCACCGGTTACGGCTTTTTGTCAAACAGTCCGATAGGCAACGATAGCATTATACAGAAGAGATTTCAAAATATAAGTACACAACAATATGTATTTACACACATTAAACATGTTACAGTCCCACACCAAACATGGACAGTGCATTATGTTGCCACTGGTAAAGAAAAGAAGAACAAAAAACATTACAATCGACAAAGACTGCATAAAACGGCTTGATCGAAACAGAAATATTTGGAAATGGAGTATATTTGAGAAGTATTGACAAATTCAGACCTACAGTAATTGCTACATTATTAGAACAATTACATTATTAGAATTGTTACATTTACTAGCAGTAAAATCCTAATGCAGGATTCTATAAGTGAAAGAGTTGGAACGCCGAAAGCCAATAATCCAGTAATTGAAAAGCCTAAATCTGTCAAAACGACTCTTACACTCCATATAATGATTGCAGAAAATAGTAACCAATAGAAAATCTGTTTTTTTCACACTGCAGCTGCTTGAATCAGTGTCCATGTTACGTAGAAGAACAAGGTTTATCCACAGTCTATATACATTGCTGTCTTCACATGAATAATCCCAATAATCCAAAAGAAACATTCAAGTTCTGCGTGATGAAAAAAGGTTGAAACAAGACTCTGCTTGTGAATCCGTTCAAGTTTAAAAAATATATATATATTTGAGACTTCACAAGAAGACTAGTGAAAGAGATTTGTATTTATAGGTGGGTTACAGCTAAAGGCAAAATGACACATGGTCAAATAATAAACCGTCATCTTGGTGTCAGTTTAATTAAAATGCATTTTGCCGATGTAATTTTCTACCTTCTGCATCACCAACCCACCAGTACATGGAAAATAACACAATAGTATCTACACATTGAGAATTTCAGTCTGTTATTAATTCATTAAGCCTTTGCCTTTCTATTACTGAGCGTTTTGACATTCCTCACTTTTCAAACTCAAAACAAGTATATATATATAAATATATATATATATATATATATATATATAATATATAAATACGTTTTATATCTATATATTTCACAGCAAAAATGATTAAAACAACTTAATCAGTGCTTAAGAAGTAATCAGATTGGACTGCCCTTAAATGAAAATCAACCATAGGAAAAGCAGTTCTTTGCTGCTTTCTCTATTGTGAAGGTGTTTTTTAATAGTTTTATTTTTTTTTCATTTTTCAAGCGCATTAGAGTTCATCTTGAGCCTTAAGAATAACAACTTACTCAATTCGTGTTATATAATGTAAAAAATGTGCTTAAAGATAACGAGAAACGCTTGGTATGGTCTTATTGAAGTCACTCCGTTATAACTTGTCTGGAGAAAGAAATAATTTAGGCCCGATACTTGTGTTTTAAAAATAAAAAAAGAACAGAAAAGCGCTCTGTCCATTACATCATAATCTGGAGTTTCGTCATCACCAGAAGTTTCCGTGATTTGTGTGGATAAAAACAACTCCAGGTCTATTTTTGAAGAAGGAGCAGCAACATCATAAACAGCTCAATAGAGACAGTCGTAATCAAAGAAAGCACTGGTTAGCATTTTTAAATCATTTTTTCACTGTGTATTCGACAGTAACAACTTATAGAAACTCGCCAAAAAAAATGCTTTCGACAAGTGCCACGAGTTGAGGCTATTTCACGTTCAAACTTCAAGTATCATTCTATCGAGACGAAGCGAAGCCGGAACTACTTATCGAGCCCCTTTTTACGCACGTCGCCTTCGATAGAGGAACACCCAAATGTGTATCAAAAAACGAACGCCGTGAGGAGCTTTGGCGTCTTGTTGCTTCCGAATGAGTCCTCTCCTGGGACAGGCTTTTGGACTCGCTCTTCATTCAAGCGCCAAAGCACGGCACGTACACAGAAACCATGAAAAGAAATTTAAAAAGAACTGCAAAAAGTGAGTAAACAAGTGCTTGAATAAATGTTTTTCGTGTGGATTTGAGGAAAGAAATAGTTGCCAGTGGAACAAGCATTTCTAGCCCATGTGATGTTTGTATTATTTCACAAATAGATAAGACGAAGAGAATTAAGTTTTGGCTGAAAATCATGCAGTTTTAAATATCCGTTATATAATATATATATCATGACTTTGTAGTGTAGTATAACACAATCCTTTTTCTGCTGTCAGTCACTTTGTTGTGTTCTTTCAATAAAATTGTTGCAACAATTATTCAGTTGAACTGTACTCTTGCAAACTCTATGAAATAGTTTATCTCATAGATTGTCAATTAAAGTGTCAATTTTTCACTATCCATATATGTTCAACTTGTCACAAAAACTATTTTATATTTATAACAGTTCGATCCCACAAAGAACAATTGATTTTCTGAAGTGAGAAACTGCTGACCTACTCACTGCACAAGAGCTGTTCCATTGGCAAGTCCTGTTTAAAGACTGAAATCATCCTCAAATCAACATAAATGGATTCTAATTCAAGCACAAATTCACTTTTTTGCAAGTAAAAGAAGGAACGAATCGGCATGAAACACAACACTTCAAGAGGTCAGGAGAGCCGCGGGTCAGAGCTCAGACGCTGGGAAACGAAGGGTCAAAAACATCACGACCGTCCCATTGGTTTGTGGAGGATTAGAAAAGGTGCACCATGCGTTATTCCGGTCGGGTCCAGCACCACCATGTGGGGTTACATGTGGATTCAGTAGGAAAATGAATGACTTTTTGGATTTGTTCAATTGCATGTACACACGTGTTTGTCAACTTAGGATTGTCTAATTAAGATCACAAATATATCAAATGTATTTTCTCTTTTGACAGCCAAATAAATGAGAAGCGTAACTGGTCGAGTCTCCCACTGAATATAGGAGTGTTTGATTAAATAAATATATATCTTATGGACATCTAAATGGAGACTTGCATGTGGCAGACCTCTCCAACAGAAAAAGACATGGCACACCTTGTGTTTGAAAATCAAAATGCCCCAAACCCATTATCAAATACATTAAACACACAGAGCTATTAAAATATTCACTTTGACTTAAGTCCCGTTATTAAAAAAAAAGACTTCTCTGAGGCATTCATATCAATAGTATTAAATTAAACTGAAATGGCATTTCCCCAAGGCATATAATACATTCATATAACACTATGTGTGGGCATTGTGGGTCTGCATAAAGGCAGATTATACATGTGTGTGGTCACAACTGTGGGAACGCTGTGGGCGGGGCACAAGATGGAAACTCTCTAATGTTCTCTTACTACATATTTACAAAAAGCAGCAGCTGTTGTACAGTTATCCAAGTGTGCGACACACATTTAGTATCTTCTGCAGGGTTCTCAGGGCTAGTTCTCTTTAATTGAGGTAGATCTGCATGATAATGTAACTAAATCTAAACCTGCACAAAGGAAGTTGTTTTCCACAGACCTCCAAAGATCAGGACAAATCCATTTTGGACCAACGTTATAAAACATTTAAATATTTCAGTTCTTAAACTCAGTCCAGTTGAAAAAGTCTGACTCAGGGCAGTGTGTCTCAATATGTATGTTCGAAACTCAAGCTGTGGTTTTCATTGTGGTCTAAGAAAACATTATAAAATGTACTTTTGTATTTTGAAAATCTATGCAATTCTACTCCACGAAGCTGGGGGACTTAGAACCAGCCGTCCTCACCTGCCAAAGCATTCCCACAGTCTCGATTATAGAGTATGTACGTGTGCGTTTAGGCGAGTGTGTGTGTGTAATTATGCAAGTGTGTGTATATGCGTGTGTGAAGTCTTGTCTGGGCTGCTGTTCTCTCAACTGAAGCACATTTCCTTAGGAAACAGAATGCACCTCTTTGGCTGAACCGAGCTGCCAATCACCAGAGACGGAAGCCAGAGCCCCTAGTCCCGCCCATCGCCAGGTCAATGTCGTAAATAGAATGTGTGCGTGTCAGTGTGGGGACAGTGGATATGGTCCAGACTCCTGTCCACTTGTAGTTTCCTCATGGATGGAGGGAGGGAGGGGATGCGGTTTCCGTGGTGATGAGAGTGAAGTGCCGGTAAACCCAGGAGGGAGGGGGCTTAGACCTCTGCTCCTTTCAAGCCGATTCGCTCCTCCTCCTGTCAGTCACTACTTGGCTTTTTGAGCGAGAAAGCAAAGATGTTGAAGTGAGCACTTAGTTGATCAACCTGGAAAAAAAGAACAGGGGAAGTGTGAAACATTAGGGGACACACCCGTGTTAGAGCGCAAGGATAGATCTCCAGGTAAGAGATGCTGAGTTTTATTTACTGTACGAAAAGTAATTTCATCATTTAGATACCATCATTAACTAAACTAAACAGACAGAGCTTTGTTTAGGCCCATGAACAGTAATTATGTTTGAGTGTTATCACTGATTTGACCATGAGGCTGGACTAAATAAGAAAAAAAGACAATAAAAAAAATAAAAAAATATCAGCCAATTCCCAGCTCAGTCTTTTATTCAAACATTACTGGATTAAAAAGCCAAATAATGAATTACAACACTTATCCTACAAAATATATGTAGGATTAAAAAGAGGAATATTGGCAGACACCTAAAGAATGTGACAGTGGCTCAGTTGGTAGAGCATTGGCCTTTGAGCCTGAAGGTCGTGGGTTCGAGCCCACCATGAGACCTTCTGCACCGACTCCCACTGATGTCTGCTGTTGTTGTGTCCTTGGGCAAGACACTGAAGCCCCCTCTGAAAGATCAAGGCTATGCCATAGAGCAGCCATCCTTCTGTGGACTCACCACCTGCAGGAGGGATCAGTGAGGGGCTGGTGCTATGTGTACTGGGTGGCATCTCTGGCCATCCCCCCAACTCAGAAATGGATTAAGGGGTAGAAAATGAATGGATGGACCTAAAGAATGACTTTCTATCTCACAAAATGTTATGTCTTCAATGATCCCTTTCATTTTGATCTGTAAATGTGTCCTGAGTGTGTGTGTGTGTGACGTGCGTGCGTGTGCAGCTCACCACAGAGACGCCGTAGTGGATGTGAGCCACAATCACCGCTCCCGTCCACAGAAACAGCAGCAGTGTCTCATCAGCGAAGACTCCGGTCACCGCCACCAACACCACCATCGTCATGGGCAACAGCAGCCAGTTCAGAGGCTGGCACCGCGTGTTGCTCATCTGACACACAATCAGCTTACACTGCGCGCACAAACACACACACACACACGCACAAGGGAACAGGCTGAAGAGGGCAGGATCAAGTGTAACAGAATATTAAGTCCAAGTAGATTTTAACCTAACCCTGAAAAACCTTTTCTTCCTGTTGAGTTGAGACAATTTTACTGTATTACACTGCATTCACTGTAATATTAAAATGATAAATCACAGTCTAAGCCTTAAAGCTGGGGTACTGAACTTTCAAACCACTGAACTGTGTAATAAAATCCATCCATGCAATAAAATCCATCTAGCTAGTTACTCACTCTGAAACAGTTTGGTTCTATCACCAGTAAGTTTACATGTATTTTTGGCCTGTCACTTTTTCAGACCAAAATGTGTAAAATATGTGTGTTCGGACTTGAGAACTCACAGTGACGTTGGCGAAGGCCGTGCCCACCATGAGGTAGTAGAGTCGGGGCTGCAGGTCCAGGACGTTGGAGGGGGAAAAGACCACCCAGACTGTAGAGAGGAGGAAGAGGAGCACCGGGGAGAGGAAGGGCAGCAGGGCCTCGTACATGCTGCTGTGTTTGAGCGTGCTGTTCCTGTAGCCTCTGTGGAACAATAACGTTGACAGCATGTTATCAAGACGAAAAATTACGCTTTATAACCATTAAAAGTTTAAGGGACTATGTACACTGTTTGATCTAACGTGAAATAATATCAGGGAAAAAAACGTCCAATGTCCAACAACGTTTATGGACAGATACAGGATGTTTTTGACTCAATCGCAGTGTGATGATCAAAAGTTCAAATAAGAGGTCTGAGGCACTCTGTTAAAGTGAAAACATATAAAAGTCCTTTAATAAACATTTATTTATGGACGTTTATCATCATTTATGGACATTGGTCATCTATTGTCACCTCTAATTAACCGGCTTTATTTAAATTTTTTGTCTATTTAAAAGGACCTTCTAAGCCTTAGACGTGTGGATCTTTATCTATCCATCCATACACCCATTTCCATTCCATTTCTGATTCGGGGGGTGGCAATCAGAGCTGGTGCCAAATTCACGTAGCACCTGCCCCTCACTGATCCTCCAGGGGCACGGGCATCAGGCAGAGTGGGTTTTCCCAGGGACACATTGACAGCAGACGTCAGTGGATCCTCGTAAGACCATTTCATATGAAGCTCTACAAGACTTTTGCAACTTAATTAAACTGCAAAGCTTTTGGTACTGGCTTTTGGAGATCAGCTTGATGCGCCTACAATCCACGTGACAAAATATACGAAGGACAGACGAACAGAGGAACCAGACGATCTGTGCCATAGACATAACAAGCCTTCATATGAAACCATGTGAATGCTGGGAATACTCCGTTTGCATTCTTACTTACTTACTTACTTGCAGACTGAAACACAGTTGCTGCCCCTGCTTCCTCTGACCACGGCACTACGACTCACCTACTTTGTTTATGTTGTCATATAATTTGTGATACGTGGCAGATTCGGCAGCTTTGTGCAGTTGCTTTGATTGCCAATGTGTCTAGACGGAGCCTATGGGGTCTTTGATATGAAATTATTTCTGCTGATGTCGCGTAAAGACAAAAAGCAAATGCGGAAAATTGTGCACACCTTCTTTGTCATGGCTGAATTATTTGCATTTCAAGTTCGCGGAAGATAAAGGCTGGATCTGGATAGTTTGAGCCTCTAGGTCAGAGTTGTAAAACTGGTTCCAGAAAGGGCCGTGTGGTTGCAGGATTTCATTCGAATCTAGAAGGAGACACCAGACTCCGCCCTTTTCCTCAAGTCTTCAGGTTAAGATTTGAAAACCTGCAGCCACAAGAGACCAGTCCAAGAACCAGTTTGACCCCCGGCGCTAGGTAAAAGAAGTCGAGGCTAAGACCTACAGAAGCAAGGGCCTTTGATCTTATCTTAACCCCCAATTTACACCAAGCGTCGCACAAAATCTAATGAAGGCTAAACAGGAAAAACACAAATAATTTAAAGCATTCCATACACTAGAGGCACTCTACGCCAGGCTGCTTCTTTGTCCACTCTCTCCCACAGTGATGAGCTAGGATTCAATACAATGTTGACAAATGGAACTCATAGTGGTGCGTAACGTATTTGCACTTGTTATACTTCTGTTGTACGCCAGTTATACGTCCAATATTTCACTGCTGGTGTGAATTGTCAGGCTCATTGTAATAAAAAGCTAGTCTGTGCGTCTGAAGATGCTTGGTGTAAAATTGGGTAAAAGAAAGTAAGAATTGGTTAACAAACCACTGTAAACAGTTTTCTATCTTGAATATAGAAATGAATGGAAAAACTTTTATGAGTTTCAAATAATTATAACAAGTTTATATAATATTTTCTATAATGACTTACTTGATGATGTTGTACAGACTCATGGGCAGAGTCACAGTGAAGGAGCAGGCTGCAAAGAGATTGAAATATCTCAGAAACTTTCTTAAATATGTTTTAATCCAAAACACATTTTGTAACCAAGAGAGATTGTATAAAAAACTATATAAATTACATATTATTCATTATCATTATCATTCTGTCCTAACAGAAAGCTTTATGGTTATACACTGTTTGGTGTTTCGGGCTGAGAGCTGAAAAGCTGAACATGTAGCAGAGGCCAAAAAAATGCAAACTAGTGATTGAACCAAAATGAACCAAAATGTATTGAAAGTTTATATGGATTGTTATTTTTTTGGTTGTTTGGAAGTTAGGTACCCAAGATTCTATTTGAAGATGTGAAAGTAATATAAGGTTCTGTTTTTACGACAAATAAAACAAAGTAAAAGAATTGATGATTAACCAATGGCAGATTTGAAATGAAAACAATAAAAACAGATTATCGGCTGCCACTGTCCCAGCCATGAAATAGAAAATGATGCCAGGGCACGTAAACTGACTTCTTGTAGATCCAGCAACAGTCTGAGTGAATACATGGTGTAAAAGATTACTGATAATCATGAAGGTGAAGAGGTCTCTGTACAGGAAGTTGAAGAACACAGGCTGGTACCACGTTTCCACGCCAACCACCGCAGTCACCAAATACACCAGCGAGATTGTCTGCCAGACACAAGACAAGCTGAGGATCAGGTCCATAATACACAGCTCTCAGGTTTACTATTCTACCATGCTTTTTTCTTCTTTTAAAACCAAATACTATGCATTACAGATTTTCACTTTGGCAGTTTGATGGAGCAAGAATAAAAATAAAAAAAAAATAAAAAAAAATATATATATATTTTTTCCAGCTTTTAACAATTTTACAACATCGTTCCCCTCATCAAAATCAGACCGGGTGTTGTTTTTAGAACCATCCATGCTAATATCATAAACTTATGGCACAAACATGTAACTCTGCCCCTTCTATCTTAATGCTCCCATCTCAAACCTTTTAGAACAATAGTGTTCCCACCAAATTTATTTTATTTCTGTAATCTGTATTTTGTTTTTAATATGAAGAAAGCCCTGCCAACAAATTAATTTTTCCTGTCTCTCCAATGAAATTACTGTTATCGCATGGCTGTTTGCAGAATGTACCGTTTTAATCATTTAAAACAAATTCCTCTAGTGGTTGAAGAGGGAATTACATGCAGAGACCATGTATTGTCCTTTATCCATATTTATCAATACAACTTTCTTGTAAAATCGTTTAACATTCTAAAAATGAAAGCCAAATGGACAATTGTTCAAATGGAATGCATCATATTTCTTCCTAAATGTTTATAATACGGCAGTATCGCTGTGGGGACTCACCACGAGGCTCATGTCGTAGCCCCAGGGCAGGAACAGGATGCCCGTGTTGTACTTCTCCCAGTGCGACAGGATGAACGAGAACAGCACCACCCACAGGATGTAGTACAGAGTGGCCACGCTCACGCCGCTCACGCCACGCCCAAAAATGGAGTAGACTGTCGCCACAAAGAACACGCACGTCCAACTGTCCAGGCCGTGGTCGAACAGCTCCCCAAGCGGTGTGGAGGAGTTAGTGCGTCGCGCCTGTTTCCCATCAACTCCATCTAGAAAAAAAAAAACAGGGAGAAAATTCAAGATAACAACATAGTGAGGCTATGGATTTGAAAATAGCAAATAATATACCAAGGAATATTTAGAAACAAACATTGACTTAAACATGAGAAGTGTTATGACTCAGATAAGTCTAGATTGGCAGAATGAAAAGAAAATGTGTTTACAAAGTGGTTTTAAGATCAAACATAAGTCATATGAAGATGTTCTCCAGAGATAAATCTTAACCTTTTTTGGTAATATGTATAAATAATCCCACATTATTTTCACTTTTGGATCCAAACAACTATTTGATTAATCAAAGCAATCAATTACCAAAACAATTGTTACAGTCCTAAAATAGCAATAAGTAAAACTCTGGCCAAAAGTGGTTCTGCAACCTCTCCCACTCTCCCTGACTCAGGTTCCCAGATATGCAGACGGATTTACAGAGCATAAAGAATAAGAAAAGAAAATGACATAAACACCCACACACTCACAAAAAACAGCTAAACAAACATAAATCATGGTTGTAAAGAGCCTGTTCCTGATCTTTACCCATGTAATCTACATAATACTGTTGGCATTGTACTGTCGGAAAAAACTGGACATATCCAAATTACACCTAAAAGATTAAAATCAGACACCCCATCTTGAACTAATTGTGTTGCCTGCTGTCACATTCTGAGGACATCATATCAGCATTCCTTCCTCCCACTATTGAATTTACTACGGCCACAGAACACTGCCCTTCATTCATGTGAAAACCTCCTCGTTGAAACAAGTCCCTCATGGTTTGTAAACTGACGGCTTAATGTGGCTCATCGATGGTTAAAGCTCGGCCCTGGTTTTAAAGAAGAAATATTGTGCATTATTTTTGGCCATTACAGATGATGAGACTATTTACTTTGTTATTTCATTTTGTAGAATGTGAAATATCATCAGAGTGGAAAATATATGGTGAAACAAGTATGAAGGGCAAAACAGTCTTTCCACCTTCTTGAGTGCTGGAGCAAAGTGATGTTTTCAGACCGGCCACTCTATTAGGAACTTAGCAACTTTATTAGGATGAGTTATTTAATCAAAATAATAGTGCTTGATAAATTAAAAATTTGTTAAGTAGGTCCCGGGTAACTTGACTAGGTAAAAAAAAGAAATAATAATCAAACAACAGTGAAATCATATGAAATGAATTAAAAACAAGAAAATAAAAACTCATTGGTGCCAGAAGTTCCTGATAATTGCGAGGAGGGATCTAAAAACAACAATTTTGATCAAAAAAGTAGATTTTGCACAATATGTTTCATAGTAGCTCTCAAAAACCACCACTGTTCTTCACGCTTACTACTGCGTTGACAAAAGATACAGTACTTTGTTATTAACTGCAGACAGTGTACAGTCATTTTGTCACAAACTGTTTCCTTTTATAATCTGAGAGGCAACAAGAAGACCTGATAGTTGCTTAAATTAGTCAGATTTTGAATGTTCATCTTGTCTTCTGGGCAGATTAGTTAACTTATCTTTAAAAGAAAATGTTCCATGATAACCGTATCGTAATCCTTTGCATTTGTGATTTATGGATGAACAAACAAATCCAGCAATGACAGCCAACTGGAAAACCAAGCACATGTGAAATGACGTATTCATGTTTAGGCTTTTAAGAAAAATGAGTAGGACAAACAAGAGAGTAACAGCTGCACTCAAAAATCACCTAATACTTCCTGTTCTCGGGCCGAGATCTGATTTGCAGCAATAATTTGACCACGTTTAATTATTAATACAAAATGTCGAGGATTTAACGCTTTAGGGATACAACTGAAAGATTTTATCTGAACTCTTAATAATGTAAAGTGATTATTTATGTTTATCTATTATTCTAGTCTATTATTTTAATAGACAAGGACAATTTGGGTAAATTGTCTTTCCAAATTGCTGAAAAGTGTGTAACTGCTCTTTGCCGTTTCCATTATTTGTTGCACGGCACTGGAAAAATGGCGCCGTGGCCGGAGCTCTGGTGTGTACCATCTCTGTCTGCTGCACACTGGGGTAGTCTTGCCTAGTTTTTCCAATGTGATTTTACTGCAAATGGCAATTAACGCTTGTATTGTATTGTTGTATTGTAATTCTTTGTGTCTTAATGCCATCTTATTTTGTTAAGTACTTTGTGTTGTCTTGTGTATGAACTGTGCTATAGAAAAAAACGTGCCTTGGCTTGCCTCGGCTCCGAAGTTGTAACTAAGTTGTTTTGTGGGAACCCAATTTCCCACAAAAAAAAACCCAAAACAAATTCTTTTGCTTTTTGATTTGTTGTTGTTTTGGGGCTCAACCCTTTTTTCATTATTCATTTTCATTCCAAATTATTCAAACCTAATACAATTGTTTGTTTCACATCACAATTCTTGAAAACCAACAAAAACTATGAATACAATAGTGCCAATGTAGAAAATACCTTGAATACGGGGAAAAAAGGTGATTTAATTTTCAGTCCAGCTCATATTTGTTCAGGGAGTGTATGGCGTTGCAAATGTGCCTAAATGTGAGTGGGATCAGTTTGTACTTTCTCCAGAGAAGGAGGACACAGATGTGGAGGTCAGAGCTCACCCAGAGTGTAGGCCAAGAAGTTAAAAATGCCTGCAGCCACCCAGACCCAGCTGGGAACGTGCACATGTCCTGCAGCTGAAACAGAGGAGCAGACACACAAGACCTTAGACACCACACTCTCACTGAAGTCTCTCTAAAACCAGAGCTTTTACACATAAAAAGACACAATGCATTTTTCAATTCATCACACAACAGCAAGCCCTTAAAGCTGGGGTATCTAACGTTTTTGTTTTCATGATTATACTTGTATACTTTCAGTTTAAAACAACTTGTTCTTGTTGTAATAAAATTAGATCAGACAAGATTAGATTAAACTTTGTCATTGTAAAAGTCAGAAGATAGCAACGAAATGCAGTTTAGCGTCTAAACAGTAGTGCCATAGCACAAGGATAGGATAATATCTACAATACAGATACATATAGTTGCATATGTGAGAGCTGCTGTTGCTAGTATATTCATTAATTATTAGAGCTGCAACTAACGATTATTTTGTAATCTATTAATCTATTGATTATTTTTACGATTAATCGAGTAATCGCATGGCTGTGAATTGTGTAGAAAAAATTTCTTTTTTCATCACAAAAAGCTAAAGTGGCAACACTCGAGGACGTATTGATGGCGTAAACTTAAAGTAAATGTTTGTAACAGGCTCTTTGTGCTAATTCTGCTATCTGATTGGATGAGACAGATAGATATTCATGAAATTATAAAAACAAAGTCGGTTTTAATCAAAAATACTACATTTTCATGTCATTTTTGCTCTGTTTGAGTCCGTGTGAACCAGAAAACGATTAATCGATTACTAAAATAGTTGTCGACTATTTCAATAAATCGATTAGTCGTCGATTAATCGATTAGTTGTTTCAGCCCTATTAATTATATTACATTACATTAAAGTGCATCTAAAGGGCTTTAACATGGTGAGAGTTCAGGAGTGTAACTGCTCTGAGACAAAAAAAAACAACACAAAAAAAACTGTCTCTTAGTCTTATTAGGTTTATGACATTCATTAATCAAACCATTTCTGAGTAATTTACAACTGATTGATTTTAAATGGTTAGTAACGTTTCTTCTCTTTTTTTATCACTGGATTTGTGCAAAGTGCATATGACGTCAAGGGCTAGTTTTCCCATGGTGCAATGGCTCATGGACTTTGACTCGACAACTGGACGTTCAAGTTAAAAGAAGCAGGTTATGGGTCAGTAAACACGCCCACGGCTTCTGAATAAACACAGCACAGTCACAAATTGAACTAAAGCTGCTGACAAACTTGCCTTCGTTTCTAGAATTATGCTTCGGTTTGCGAGCAGATACCAATACAACCATATGGGAAATCATTTTTGAAAGAAATGTTGAAAAATATATACATATACGCTCATTTTGACCACAATCTTGCTTTTAAAAAAAAAATATTGTCCCCACTTCAGACATCTTTAATACAAAAACTTGTCAGACCATAACTGATATGTGCTGATAATAATGGTTATTTTTGTTTTTTATTTCACAGGAATATGTCCTAGGAATTACAGAGAAACAACATTTAACCGCTACCAGGACATTTTTCAGCTGCCCTCCACCAATTTTTAACTAACTCTTTGGGATGTTGTGATGTCACACGAAGGCAAACTACTGCCAAATTTGAACCCCTCATTATCAGCCTTTCTGTTTCTTTTCTCGAGTAAAAGCAAATATATAAATAGCATAATAAAATACAATATTAGGCAAGAAAAATGAGTGCACTTACAAGATGCTGTGAAATCAAAGTCAAAGTACGACAACATGACAAAGTTGAGGACGAGAAGCATGAATCCTGTGAAGGTGATGAGGTTTGGAGCCAGCCATGTGGGTAAAAACTGCGACAGAGGACACAATATACACGTTAAAAATCTCAAATCAATACATGCTAAATGTCAACATAGAGTAGAAGCTAAATCACAGTCTGAGAGAGGTATTCCCCAACATTAAATTAGCATTAACATTATAACAAAAAGGAATTCTAGAATATACTGCGTGTGTATACTACTACTGTATTACAGCAGGGAGCAGCCAGGAGCCTCATTAATTTTGCAATAAGGAGCTTTAATACAAGTCTAGACACCGAGCGACGCTTCTCACCTTCACTACAAAGTTCCAGAACGGGTGCATAACATAAACAGACAGCGGGTTTGTGTCCACTGCGCTGTACTGCAAAAAAAAACATGACAAAGATTCAACATTAAACATAAAAAACGCAACACATTATAAAAAATCTGCCATCGTGAGCTTTTCAATATTTTACATAAAGTCCAACCAATCATGTTGTAGCCTGCCATGGAACCTGTAGCTATAATCTATCATATTTACATTTGGGTTCATTATTGTGCATTGAATAGACATTAGGCATAAGGCACTGTTTAGTATGAAATAATGTGAAAGACTTGTCAGGTGGGTTTTATTCAGTAAATTAACATGGGGTATGTGCTAATGCTAATTATGCTATAGGGAGACATTTAAGACATTAGCAGCCCATTACATAATGCCTTGTTGGATGTTGATAAGAGTAGACTAATCAAGTGTGTTTACTGCTTATCTTTTGCATTTTTGTGTATTTACTTACTAAAAACATTGTGGGTTCCTTATTTCACAAATATGGGCTGAGTTTTACTGAGAAATGTAACGTAAAATTAGGTATAGCATGGAGAGGTAGCACTAATAAGATGCAAGCTTTTATCAAGTACCGACTTTTTTCCCGCTTTATCGGTTGCGGTGTCGCCCAGATTTCCCTCTCCAAACACACTTCCCACACCTCAACTAGAGGAATCCTGAGGCATTCCCAAGCCAGCTGAGAGACATGGTTGCTCTGCAGTGTCCTGGGTCTTCCCTGGGGCCTCATCCCAGTGGGACATGCCCGGGTTAGGGTAAACCAGAAAAACATGCCTGAGCCACCTCTCATTCATACGCAAAATAAAGCACTAGCGCACCGATGGATGGATACTGTTATTGTTCATTATTTAAGACTTGCATGTTTAGAACCCACTAATCGATCTTTGCCCACAACAACAACTATCACGGCATTTTCTAACAAAACAATAATAATCAATTAAAAACAAAATCTGCCTCTACTGCCGCTGAAATATCAAAAAAGAGGTAGGTGGGGCAGAATTCCTTTTCCTTTTAGAAAATTCATTGTGAGTCTGTTTGAGTTAATATTGATTCACTGTAAAATATTGTAATCCATATCGTATAATACATAATACATCTTTGTTAATAAATGAACACAAAGAGATCGTTTACAGTAGATTCTTGGCACTTTGTCATCGCCCGCCTCAAAATGAAACTGATTCCTAAAAGTAACTTTATCCACACATCTCCAGCGTGATGCCAGGGCACTTTCAAAGGTTACACTGAACATCTGCTATTTTGAGTTCATTTAGATTCCATTTTAGCATTTGTGGAAATATGGTTCAGTTGTTTCAGATAGGAAAACTTTTAACTAGATAAAAGAACAGCATCCTCAAACAGTTCCATTCCTCCACTTAGCTGCAGCGGCTCATCCAATGCCGCCACTCAAAAAGTAATTATTGGAAAATGGCCCCTCATGACAAACAGCTCTGGGGGCCAATTTCACACAGTAATCAACAGACAGTGTGTTGTGCAGTGTGTCAAAACAGTGCCTTATGTCTTTTAAGGACTCCAAGAAGAGGAGAGATACAAGAACAAGCATGATGGAAATATTTGTGATAAGATTTAAAATAAATAGCAGTCACAATAACCTTAGGCCCAGAATGTATTACCTTTCCATGTTTTTCACTTCTTCTGAACAGTGACAGTCCTTGTATCATCAAAACAAGCACACATGTATAGATTGTTGACCCACATTTAACAATTGGGTCCAACAAACCCAACAACAAACTGCTAGAATTGATTTGTGAATCGGTTTTTTACAGTTTTCTATACAAACACAATTGTTCGTTGTGAATGTACTTTGCACTTTATCAATTATCAGACAATCATCTACCCTTTTATCAGTAGGTTCCCAATGTAGTCCCAGTGTATTCCTCGGTCACAGACATAAATCAAAAGTCTCCTTGTCTCCAGAAACACGTGAATAAAAAGCAGATGATGGTATGGGTGGGATGCATTCTTGTTTACTACACACTCCACGTTCAATAGGTTCATCTACCCACACTGACTGCTTCAACAAATCACTGGAAATCCATAAATGACAACAGTTCCTGCTTAATCAACATACTGAAAGTGCGGCAGACAGAAATTAATTACAGGATAATAAGCAAAATATGCATGACGAAACAATACAATGACTACATGACTTGGAAACCAAACACTCCCTGATCAAAACTGCATTTAACCCTAAATTACAGCTGAATTGGACAGAATATACAAATCTGACACAAATAAATAATGATTTTAACATTCAAAACGAGCATTATAGGCACTGCTATGGCGTTGATATTTCCATAATATCGGATAGATCTGTCTCTACACACCCATAGTCATTTCAGGCAGGGAAGCAGCAGCCGCAGATCTTGACAGCTTGGCTAGCGGCTAACATGCTAACATGCTAACATGCTAAAACCTTACCTTGTATTTGTCGAAACCCGCCAGTTGTTCTTGTGTGACATAATTACACAAGGCCATGTTAATGTCCCGTTCTGGCTATAAGCTGGTCTTTTATTACGCTCTGGATACGCGATCTCCCCGCTGCTAGCTGCCAAGAGCGAGCAGCATCTATGTAGCTTTAGCTTTAGCCGCGTTCACGCCGGTGTGTGCCGTGGTTATGGGCGGAGCCAAGTGTGTTTATGTTCCTAGAGGAAACACGCGTCCACTTCCAGCCGCCATATTGGAGATTCCTTTTTGATATTTATGTTTTATTCAATGAACGTTCAAAATTGAATATAAATATAAATAAACAAACCAATAATTAAATACATGAAATATAAATCAGAATAGGCCTTGTATTGAATGAATGCCAAAGAAAATAAAAGACAACACGATTGAACATAACATAACAAGACAGCATTTCTCCTGGGGAACTCACACTTTTCATCTATTTTTAGTTTCTGCCAAAGTATTGTGAGTATATCTGATATCTAACGGTATAGTTTAGTATGCACGATGTGTTTTGAAAGAAAACAATATGGCATTACATTTCCATTAACTGTATGGAATCCTTCTAATCTACGGCCTATGATGAGCACTGACAATTAACTTGCTATTTATTCTGTCCATTTCCTTGCGCTGCTATGTACAGTTGTAGTTTTAGATAGTACTCTGGAACCCTGACCGCTAATTATTTAGATTTTGTTATTTATTTCACTTAATTTGAATAATATGTGCTATGCCTCCGCTAAGATTTGTAAGCGCAGATATAGAAAGTTTATTTGTATGATTTATTCCCAAACAAATGTTATAGTTTATTAATTGTCCTGTAATACACAACAACATTTCCACACTATGGGATGAATAAATAATGTTCTCTTGAAATGAAAGACAAACTGAAACTTTTTGGCTGCATACAAAATATAATTAATTATAAATGATTATGCAATTGCAAATAAGTAGAGGGGGGTTTGTATTAGGGCCTCAAATTAATTTAAACTTACTTATATAATTGTGATTTGGTTTTCACTTGAGTCAGGAAAATCAGCACCTCCCTATTGCATGATTGGAAAAAAGTGCCTTGCCCTCTCCAGGTGGGGAAGAGTACTGATATTTACAGTCTATGGGAAGAGTTCAATCCTCAAGTGGGGGAGTTCAAGTATCTCAGGAACAGAGTCAAAGGGCAAAGCTCTTGATTTTCGTTCCCACCCTCACATGTAATGTCTTTAGCTTTGGGTATAATGACTGAAAGGGCAATATAGCTGAAACAAGGGGTTGAGAAAATTTTCCCCCACAGATTGGCTGGGTGCACATTTAGAGATAGGGTGAGGAGATCAGTCAAACAGGAGGAGCTTGGAGTAGAGCCGCTGCTTCTCCACACCGAGGAGACCAAGTACTATATCTCTCAGCTGGCATAGATGAGCTGGAGGGAGTGGGGGTAAAGCATAGACTGTAAATATGAAGGGTAAAGAGGGAAGTCTGAGCGTCTCTGCCTAACTGTTGTGCATGTGGTCCGGGAATAGATTAAAGTGTCAGGATTTGGATGATCTGGTGGTCCTTGTTAAAATATTTTCTAAGAGGTTTTGGGAGTTGCACAACATCCAAGATGGCCGCTCAAAATGCCGCTGCAATAACAGGCCATAATCTCTCTAGTCATTTACAAAGTACTAGGATGTCGAAACTGCTGCCGCTCCCACAAGATCACCCGAGCGACACGGACGACTCACCACCTCTCCTCCCACCCCCCATCCAACCCAGATATCCCCCCCCCCTCTCTGCTCCCTCTCTCTTTTTTCACAACCATAGACCGTATTTCAAGATTTAAACACGGGCAAACGATACAAAAATAACGCATGTCTTTTATTCTATCTATCCAAAATCTACTTTTCCTGCAAGCCTCTATGGTTAAAACCGGGTCTTTTCCACTATTTGCTGCAAAAAAACAAAGAAACCCATTCTCCTGTCACACTTTTAACATATAATAATCAAACTGGACAGCAAACGTGGTGGGACCACACAGATCTTTTGTACAAATAATTTAAAGACATCGATGTAAACAGAGATTGGATGACGTAGATTATGATTGACCAATAGCGTTGCGAGCTCTAAAATGTGACGTGTCTTTCCCCTTGATCCGGAAGTAGCATCCGCAGCGGCTTCTCCATCCACGACATTAAAGACCTCGTCTTGAATCACAAATAAACGACAATAAAATATAATGTAAGTTATGTCTGCAACTATGAGATGATTTTGCATGTGTGGGATTTCACTCTAACACTGACCACGTCTTCTTATGTTTGTGTTTTTCTTTGCTTTGAGAAGCAACGAAATCTGGGCTAGCATGCTAACACAACATGTCAAATTATGTTTTAACAGCTACAATTTGTTTTTGCTACCAAGAAATATTTATCTGACGATACAAGTAGTGATATGTGCATGTAATGGAGCTAGAGGTTGTCGTATTTTCTCAACTTAACAATCAGAGTGGCCTCTTTATTAAGAGAAAATATAAATCAATTTCGGTAATTTAAAATCAAATGTTTAATGTTTTCTTCTCTTTTGATGTGTTTTGGCAGAATGGTTACTGACGTGCAGCTGGCGATCTTTGCCAACATGCTCGGCGTGTCGTTGTTCCTGTTGGTGGTTTTGTATCACTATGTGGCTGTAAATAACCCCAAGAAGCAGGAGTGACTCTGCCCTGATCTAAAAGGTGTGTGATGCACTTTTTAACCTATCGTTTGTCTAGAGCAGAATGTTCACACGTTTTCAATCAGAGGGTTAGGGTTGAAGGTAGGACATCACCCAAGATATTAACAACTGAATAAACATCATTATTATTCAATTATCACACGTTTTATGGGAATCGCTTGTGGGCTGCCTCATCTGCTGAGAGCTTTTTACTACAAAATGTAAGCACTTTGAAAAGCCTGTACCCTCTCCCAAGTTTTAGGGTTTGTTTTGATAAACGTCTGATACACTTTTCTTAATGTTCCCTCTCTAGAAAACTGAAGATGGATGCACCACCGTGGAATCATTCAGTTTGTCCAAAAGATACATGTTTTTGTTAATGTTTCACACTAATTAGCAATTTTATAATAAAATGGATGAATTGAATTGATTGGTCTTTGTTTGCAACAAAAAACAAAAACCTGAAATCTTTCTTTTATTAAAAATGTTTGTACAAACAGTGAAATCTTATACAGTATATCATTCTTACAATATTGTATCATGTCCTTTTAAAAAAAACTCTTCAGATTGTACTTATGACAAGTGATTTCATCGAACCATTATATTTGTAACTATTTTACTACTGAAAGTCAAAATACTTCAGTATTGTACTTTCTTTTAAATTTAAGTTGAAACCATATCACTTGAAAGTTTTAACAAAAAGGTGCCTTCGGCATTGCTTAAAAATAACAAATGATAAATCAAACGCATGTGCTGGTGTTTTTATCAACACTTTTCTAACACGGCCCTCTAAGCACGGCCACCATATAAATAAATAAATAAAATCAAACACCTTTTATAATTTTCGTCACTCCTGATGCAGCAATGAAAAGGCCACTGAACCTAACTGCCCTGCAGTTTGCCTGTCACAATAACAAAAAAACAAACTTTAATTGATTGATGGATGGTGGTGATTGTTGTAGCTCAAAATATTGCCTCTATATTTTCTTTGTAATAGTGCCATAGTGGTACTTTGTCATTTTCTTTATAATGCAATTCAATATTAGATGAAGAATAATTAATAACCCAATTTTATGTCTTTATAATACTTATTATTTTTTCAGTTTTTAAAGGTAGAGTTTTGTAATTGCGTCAGTAGCAAGAATACTTCTTTTTATCATTCATCATATTATATATCCGTAGCAATATATGTTCTATCATTTTCTTATTATCAAGACAGGTGTAGAGAAAGGGCTTCATGGGTTGTTCAACTGTCTAATGTTGAAGAAAGTAAAAAAAACAAACCTCTAAATCCTGATGTAAATGTATCAGAATGCAGGGTGGGCAGATATGCAGTTGCTAAGCTTCACCACAGAGTGTCACTGTCTCACTTAAGTTGAGCGTCTCCGGCAGCAGAGCAGTCCCTTCCACCTGCACCAAAACAATGAACAAAACACAGATGTGAGATTAAAACAAGGTCATTCTGTTATTTTGTTCTGTTTTTCATCACTAACTTTTGGTGTGAATTCAGCCAAAGATTCTCCTTTGTTGAATTGGAGACTTTTGATGTCAACATGTTTCCTAATTCTTCCTTTGGAGGCCGACTGCAGCGATGCCTGCTTCCCAGAAACACCTGTAACAAGAAGTTAGTTACAGTTAGCTTTCCAGCAAAGTAAATGAAAAACATTGACATCAATTTTCAGCCTGACTCATGAGCTTGAAGCTGGAGTACCTCACTGTTTTTTGTTTCATAAATACATTTTGTTTGTCCCAACAGAAAAAGTAGTATTTTTTTGTGTCATTTATAAACATGCTGCCTTTATCTTTATCTTATTAGAAAATCTCTCTTACATACTAAGAGCTGATTGAATAAGCAAGGGCTGGTACTCTCGTTTTCACTGAAAAAAAAGTTAACAGAAAATGTAACAGAGGCCAAAAATACATGCACAAGAGAACTCCTATATGTATATGATTACATTTTCTCTGAAGTTAGACAGGTGATTTTGTTGTATTTTTTTCATTACCGAACATGTTGAAAGCTATATTCCTTTCATTTTAATTGGAAACAGTTTAATCAGGGGTAATAAATCTTTAATAAAATCCATGTAACTAGTTACTAGCCAAACAGTTTACACACTAGTTTTCAAACGTATTCCTTTTCACCACATCTTTAGATCAGCTTTTTCAGATAGAAAAATAGTGAGTGACAGGGATCTAAGAACATTCCAAAATATCCAATATTTTCTGATAAGATGAAGGTAGATGTTGTGCTCTGATTTGCATCATTTTACTTTTACACAATTCTTTCTGATGGGACAAACAACATGAATTAATAAAAAAAAAGAAAAGTTAAAGTACCTCAGCTTTAAGGAATTACATCTAGTACCCATTTCCAACCATAGACTGCATTAAGATCGACAACGCTAACGCGCTCAATGAAGCCCAATAAGGAAGTGCTTCTCAAACTCGCCTCTTTTGACTTACATATAAAAAGTCAAAGTGCAGAATAAAAATAATAATAAATACAAATAAATAATAAGAAGGAATCGCTTGTGTCACACACAAGGATGGACAAATCAGATGCCTTCATTTGTGTGGAAAACTCCAGCTTGTCTGTGCAAACATCTTAGAAACACGTTAGTTTGCATCTGCCCCTGTTACGGCGTAGGTCACCCCGTCTGAACAATTGCCCATAAAAGCAATTCGGCTCCAGCTGGTGGAGGGGGGGGGGGGGATTCAGCGTGCGCAAGTGTGGATGTGTGTGTGTGTGTGTGTATGTGCTAGTCCACTCCTAATACACAATCTATGTACCCAACCAGGCAGTAAAATGTATCTGAAATTTGTGAATTATAAATATTTAGTCTCACTTGAAACCAACCATGTGTTTATAAAAGAGAGTGATTGTGTCTTGCCTGTGAGGGAGAGTTGCTGCTGCAGTCCAGGTTGAAACAGCTTCCACACCTGCAGCGCGGACACCTCCTCCATGTTTCCATTGGGTTGATCGGTTCTTCTAACAGGGATCCGACTCAGATGTGGCTGCACCACTTCACACCTGAGCATGGGAGCAGAGGTAAAATGTCAGGTAATGCATCAACTTTAAAGCTTGGGTACCTCATTTTAACACCACAAATGTGGAACTACACCTGCAATGTAGATCTAGATAATTCTTGGTTCTATCATTAGTTTTCACATGCATGTCCCCTGTCATATAATTAGATCACAGATTTTTAAACAGAAACATAATACTTTCACTTTCACAGACCTTCTGTTGTGACTAGGATATGTTATTTATGGATGAATGAAGTTAAGTTTTGTTTTCATTTTCAAGCCCTTTATTGTCCATTTCTGGGTCAGGGGGGTGGCAATGAGAGCTGCCACCCAATGCTCATAGCACCAGTCCCTCGCTGATCCTCTGCAGGGGGTGAGTCCACAGGAAGATGGCTGCTCTGTCAGTGGTGAAACAGCCTTGGTCTTTCAGCGGGGGCTTCAGGCAACGTGGGGTTAAGTGTCTTGCCCAAGGACACAACGACAGTAGACATCAGTGGGAGCATTTGGAGTAGGTCCCATGGTGGGAATTGAACTCACGACCTCCAGGCTCAAAGGCCAATGCTCTACCAACTGAGCTACTGTCGCCCCTGAAGTTAAGTGAAGTTAAGTTCCCCAGCTTTAATATCCAGATCCTTTATAAACATTTATGATCTGGATATATATGATATTGACCATTGGCCTTCCGCAAAACGACTATATAAGCAGCAGATACACAGCATTTAGCAACTATTGCATGTATACACGTTTAAGATTTGGAAAGCATTACAATAATATTATGGGAATTACATGATATCAAAGTTAAGTGGAATATTTGAAAGTGTTTCGTGTGTCATACTCACTTGCTAAATGTGGCAGAGGAAAGTATGTTCTCAGGCCCCAAGTCTTTAGTCTGTGTGAGAAAGACAGGATTGAATGGCACAAAGTTGCGTTGGTTGTTTAAAAGAGACATAGTAAACAATATCACTTTTAGCCATGTTACAATATTGTTCCTCCTGGAGTTGTTTTTCGATTCATCCATGCTATTTCAGGAACTTCTGGCACAGATGTGTGAGTCCATTTATTTAGTCTAAAAGATCCTGTCTCAGTCCTGTAATAGTATGATAATTGTTCTGCTCAAACAAATTTACTATCCTCATTTGTTTTGGCAATATCTCACTCCTTCCTCCCATCACATGGCTGGTCATTTCAAAATTTGAAAAAACAAAAATTCTACACCTCAGAGTGAAGAATAGAGATGGGTCACGAGAGCATTTGTTACCTTAATACTTGTTTAATCATGTTTTCTACTAAAGATATTTCAAACTCTAAACCATGAAACAACAAAGTAAATATTCCTTCTTCAAGAGACACGGACAGTATGAGCTAACCTGAGTGATGGTCAGAGGTCGACAGCCCCTCCCCGCTCGTCCAGAGCGCATGGGGAGGGCCACCCGGGACGCACACACAGAACTGGGGCCTCCCGTCTGGAATAATACCCCTGTGAAGCACAGTCAAACACATTCATTCATTCTATCTGTAAGAAGAGCTTACTACGACACAGAAATCAGAAGAAAAGAGCAGAGAAGCCACAGGACACAACGGGTTAATGAAAAGATTTTATTCCAGTGGAATAAAGACATTCAAGAATATGAGATTGGTAAGATGACAGGACAAAGTAAGCCTATGGCAGATGCAGAAGGTTAGCACCAAATTAAACTAACATCGTCATTCTTTTTTGAATGCGATATGTACAAGTCATATACTTCAGATCCAACATCACAGTGAACAATAGGGCAACACAAATCAAATATGTACAGTTTACACACCCAGGCAGACATTTGTTTTGACCATATTTCAGAGATTGTGAAGGATAATGCATAATGTTAGAGGTAGTTCGAAGCCATTTATTGTCAATTAAATGTGTGTTTTAGTTTTCAAATCATAATGACAATAGAACATACCCACATTACTAGTTTCCATCCCCCAGTATTAAAAAGCGTTTGAGACCATATAACAGCTTGGAGTCTTTTGTGGTAGTTGTGGATGAGGTTCTTTCTCCTCTCTGATGGAAACGCTTCCCATTTTTCTTGGGAAAAAGCTCCCAGTTCCTGAAAATTCCTGGGTGCCCTTGCATGAACTGTACATTTGAGATATGATTTGAGATTATGTCATTAATTTAAAATTAAAATTTAAAATTTAAAATTGAAAAGACGATTATTTGACAATATATGGCTTCACAAAACCACTAACGATTAGTGAGAAAAATAAGTTTACCAGTATGTGCTGTAATTTATGGACTATTAGGCGCAAATGGTATATAAGCCGTACCAGCAACGTTTTAAAGAAAGTACATTTTGTCCACATATACACCACACTGGAATATAAGCTGCAGTTTTTTCTGACTGATATATGACTATTTTAACTGGTCACAACATGGTTTAAAGCTTAGCCGTTAGCTTCCATGCCTGTACTCCTTCACCAGTCTATTTTGACAATTAAAAAAGTGTCCTACAGCTACTAAAACTTATGGAGTCAAAACAATAAGTCCATAAACTCTGCTCTGACAAAAATCTACCACAATAAAAAAAACACATATTAGCCGGATCAATAAATAAACCACAGGATTAAAAAAACTAGAAAAAATTACTGGCTTATAGTCCCGAAATCAGTGTATTATCATTAAGGATCTCAAAAACATGGCCAAAAAAAAATGAAATCTCACGTAGGATTGTAAACTTTCAAGCACAACTATAAATACTGTATATATCCACCACAACAGATGGAAATTCTCTATAAGTAAAACAAGTGAATATGATTTGTTTATTACTACAAAGTGTGTTCTTGAGTTGAAACATTAACAATTAACAATACACAAATGTAATCCTGTGACTTGGTAAAGTAAGTTAAGCTATGAAATCAGGTTTAATATTCGCGAAGAAGCCTGCGTACACAGGCGTACACAGGCGTACAAGGCACCAGAAACACCATGGACCAGCGGAGACTAAAGAAACAACGACAATGTTCCAAACCGTGGCACATTTACAGGACTGGTCACTAAGCTCAATCACTTATACTGTTGCTGAAGATATTTTTACACATAGAAGCATGAAATGTGCGTTCAAAGTTGGACTGCGATGATTTTTGGTCACAAATTTTGGAATAAAAACATATCACAAATACCTCACTGCATACACTTTTACAGGAGTCACAGTTGTTGGAAAATGAAAAGATAATGCATATGTTTTTATGCTGTCTTTATGTACAGTGCAGCGAAGGAGAAGCGGTCACTGAATATTTATTGCTTGTTGGTAAATAGCTTAGATGTGGTAAGGAATCATTGCACTCATCGACCAGCAGGGCCGATGAGCTCAGGGCAGTAGTAGCTGCTGCGGAACGGTCAGCACCACACTGACGCTGGAATGACTCAGATACAGGCTCACGGAGATTAACCAGCAGTAAATAAAGTCAAATATTTTATTATAAAAAGGTCTTTCGTGTCAACTTTATAAATAGGTTTGTTTTAAACATTTAAATATGTAATAGTAGTAAAGAGACATATTTTAAAAAGGAAGGTGTCTGTGATTACTTAGCTTGATTTCACAGATTTAAATTAAAATAAAATTACATTACAAGGTGTACTGACTGAAAAAGCCTGTCCCAGAAAATCATTGTCCAAGATTGGAATCACAACTTTCCGAAAATTAAAGTGCTGTGTGTAACTTTTTCCATTATAAAAATGCTCCTCATGGACATTATTAACGTACATCCACGATTATAATTCCACTCCCAATAGAGTTGAAATTTTCCATTTTCTTTCAAGTAACTATGTTCTATCAATTAAACTGCAAAAAGTCATGAAAAATAAGTCAAAAGTTGCTCACTTTTTGAAAAATGTTTCTTAATTTCACCACATTGTGACTGCCTTAAAATAAGATTTTCCAATCGGAAAAGCAAAATGATCTTGTTTTCAAAGGATACAAGAAATGTCTCCCTCCAAAAGAAAGCTAAAGTTCTTGAAATAAGATTAAATGCCTTTTTTTCCATTGGCAAATCTTGTTTTAAGACAGAGTATTCTCAAATAAAAAATAAAATAAAAATTGATTCAAGCTATAATTGCCTCATATTTGATCATGTTTTGCGGTTTTCACAGGACATACCCAAGTTTGAGTCATCCTGTAATGTCCAGCATTCTAGGCTTGAATGCTCGGAAAAAAATAGTTTCACCTATCTCACCCATTTTACTCTCTGCCTCCAGATGAAGCATTTTGGGTTAAAAACAGCTACGCAGCCAAATTTCACATTATAATAATACCGCTAGCTATGATGAAATACAAGAATGTGGAGGCAAGGCTTGTAAGTGCTGCATTTTAGAAGAGGAAGTCAATGAACCGTTTTCTATTAAATCATGAAGCCATTTTGTTCAATGACATAACCTACTGTGCGTGTGTGGTATAATTAAGTTCCAAAAGCTTCAAACGGCCCGTTGTATGAGAAAATGCGAGCACCAGATGCGCGTAACCCTCTTTTGACCCAGAGTTAGACCCTGTGTGGCTTTAGTCCTTGGTGGGTGCAGCTGGAGTAGTGGCGGGCGGCGCTGGAAGGCCCTGGAGGATCAGGGGGCTCAGTTTGGACAGCAGCCCTGGACGTGGCAGGGCCTGGAGAGAGGGGAGCAGGGTGGACAGGCTGGGGGGCTGCAGCGAGTACAGACCTGACATACTGACGGAGCTGGGCAGAGGACAGGAGGCCGGAGCACAGGCCGAAGAGGAGGAAGAGGAGGAGGAGGGGGGAGAGGAGGGTCCGTGGCTGTTACCGGGGGAACGCAGGACCGGCCTGTGGTGGTGAGCGGGGCGTCTCTTCTCCTGTGCTTTGGAATCTGCAGATACACAGAGACAGAGTGAAAGAGAGAGAGGTGAGATGAGAGGTAAGAGAACAAATGTATATTGAGTGATTTTAAAATGAGGTATAACATGGTAAAGTTTGACTGTTAAATACAATAAAGAAAAGCACACATCTGTGATCAATAAATTGGTCTATCCCCAATAGACATTCACCAATAAATGAGGTCAGGCTTGTCCCTTAGTGAAGTGCATACAAATGTTCTTATTCCATGCTTGATTACAATGACAATTCCAGCTAGCATTTCTAAAAATAAATGAATTAATTTAGAACTACTTAAAAATCAATGTGTACCTAATTGCGAGGAGATACAGATACAACTTAGCAGATCAATTGCAAAAAAAAAATATGAGTCAGTTGAAAATCTACCAAAAAAAAGGATGTGGAGGAAAGAAATCACAGAGGTGTTAGGTCGGAGAGTGTTTGGGCCTGTGTTTTGTCTGCGTGTGTGTGTGTGCGCGCTTTGTGTTGAGTCAGAGAGGTTGGAACCAGGTGTTTTTTGTCTTTTGTACATAAGTTTGAAAAAAAAAAAGTATTACTACAACTGCACAAAAACGTCCCAACAGATTGTAATTTGCCTTATAGTCTTTTCTGGCTCAGATCAGTCCTTATCGGCCCTATCACAGCCATTCCCACTATTATGCATCCCTGCCTGCTTGTTCCGTACGCCTCCCTCTTGAACCGCCAGCAGGTGTTCAGCAGGAACAGGCAGACAGGTGCGAACATAAAAACGTGTGGAAAAACCACTCGAGCTGAGCCTTAACTGGAGCAGACAGCGGCTCGTCTTACCTCGCACCGGCCCCAGTGTCTTGTTGCCTCCTCTGCCGCTGCTGTTGTGCGGAGCGTGGGCGCGGGGAGGGGGGCAGCCGAACGTGAAGCTGGGGGAGCTGTGGATCTTTGGTGACGGGGTCTGACTGCTGCTGCTGTGGCTGTTGCACCGAACTCGACTCAGCGTGTTCTCGGATGAGGAGCAGGACAGGGAGCTGGAAGGAGCACAGGGAAAACATGTTGTTAAAAAGTCGATAGATAGAAGTAGAAATAGCTCAGGAGTGACCAAACTCTTTTTTGTAATAAACCAGACTTGTCCAAACAAAATAGTAAAACCGCTTTAACTCGATCGGACTGTTCTGAGATTTAGAAAGAGGTGTGATCAAAGGTATATAGGAGGATTTTCTTTTTCCGGGAATATGTAAGTCGTCCAGCCTTATATCAAATAAAAAGAAAAGGAATATTATGCATTATTTTTGGCCAAAGAAAAATTGATCAATTTTACTTTGTCGTTAATGTTTTAGAATGTAAAAAAAAATACTTAAAATAGTATGGTGAAGACTAAACAACAATATCAGCCTGTATCTCTATCTCCCTATGCTACCACAAATTACCAGCCGCAAACACAGCCAAATGATTGTTAATAATGTTATTTAGGAAAATGCTTAAAACCAATTTATGTAGAAATGTCTGTTTTGAAACCTGCTCTGAGCAGGATTTCATAGTAGTACAATGGCATCATACTATTACAGAACTGAGACAGGAGCCTTTAGACAGAAGGGGAGGAGTTACATGTTTGTCATATTAGCCTGGACGGATGTAAAAAAATCAGGTCAGTTTTTGATGACGAGGGGACAAAGCTGTAGCATGGTTAAAACGTACTGGGTGAAGCTCTTTGGTGGCGTGGCCTTGTTCCCGTTGTGGTGAGTCCTGGTCGGGGGGTTTGCGTTGCTGTTGGCGTTGAGGCCTTTGGTGTTGCGGACGTGTTTGAGGATCCAGGCGCGAAGGTTCGACAGAGAGCTGTGTTCAGACAGGACCAGGCGCGGCCACGGGTTACACTCCGCCATGTCCAGAGCGGCGATGGCCACGGCGCGGCCCACCTGCAGCGCAGACGAGCAATGTGAGGAGAAGGGTCGTACTGAATACTTTAATTTCTATGACAAATCTTCATGTCCAAGGCCATCAATACTTTATTTGTGCATTGTTCCTGAAGCCTGCCAGCATTTCCATCTACAAATTACAACTACATATAGTAAACTCCTATAGGTACAGTTCCATGTCCCACTCAACACAGTTCATTTGCGGTAAATGACAGTTATTTCCCTGTGCTCACCTGTTCAAAGATCTCAGGGGTGTATTTGGGTGGAAACGAAGGAGGAGGAGGTGGAGAGGCGCGCCCGCTGTCATGACAGGCCGGTGGGATGCTGTTCACCATTTTTCCTGTGTTGTAGTTGCACTCCAAGGTGTAACTGCGGAAAACCAATATTCAAGGTTTTTTTACAATCAACATTGGTCTGAAATGATACAGAATAAACATCGAACTAAACCGCAACTTGAGTTTATAGTTTTTCTATGCATTGAACATTTTCATGATGGTGACTGAAATGATAGACCTATAATGGAAAATAGTGAAGCATTTCCTATTATAGAAAAAAAAATAAAAAAAAATATAAAACTATGTAAATATATATAAAATAGGGTCTACATAAATGCATCATTCTTGTCCTTGGAGGCTTGTGGGAGTAGTGCAGACCTGTGTAGCAGCCCTATGGCCTTGTGGACAGACACTCTGCCGCTGCCCTCTTTAGACTGCCCGTCCCTCTTGTCCCGTGCATACATGTTCTTCTCCGAAAAGTTACAGCCCAGGAAGTCGAAGTGCGGTGAGTTCACAGCGATCAGTCTGGGGTACAGCATGTTCTCCACCTGCAAGCATGAGCCGTGTTCAGATTGCTTTGGTGTTTACAGATCCTGAGCTATTTCACAGCATTGCAAAATGTATTGAATTGTTAGATACACTTCAGATGGATATGTACTAAGAATCAAACAGGTTTCTTTTGCACAACGCTCTCACAGTGCACCTCCCTGTATGGTCTGCCCTTTCACTTGTTCACTGGGCCATCATGCTTATTTCAGGAAAATATTGTCCAAGTTCTCCCATAACATTTTTTTATGGGAGGACTATACAGAGAGAGCCTGTTTGTTTGGGATCAAACAAACAAACAAGCACATTTACCTCCTATTACCTGCGGAGTGGAGGTAATACTGGTTAAACTCTTGAGTTAGATTTGGTAAAGTCTTTTTCATATTGTCCTAAATTAAATAATCTACATTGAGTTAATCCAAGTTATGTCTAAATCTAGGCTGGGGTTCATTTTCACAAAGACACATGTTAGTTCATTAAAAGGGGTTCATTTCATGTATTAACTTGAATATTAATGTGAATATACCTGCTGGCCTTCATCCGGCAAGTTATTCCCGTACATGAAACATCCACGTTTGGAGGCGTGGCCATGCAAGTCCACATAATAGGCCACTCCTCCTTCTCGAGACGCTATAGACTCCTGTGTGACCTCTTCTTTCTTTGCGTCTACAGCGGGGCTATCTGCAACTGTCGTCTCTGTGGGATTAGACAGTTTTTGGCTGATATTTTCTAAGTCCGTAGTGGTGATAGAAGTGTCCTCCATCGTCATATTGATGTGCTGTGAAGGAGTCGAGTCTTTCTCAGCATTTCGTTGATTCAAATTGATCTCCATGTCGGTGAGGGGAGGAGGCGCTTGATTGGCCGGCGTGTTGCTCGGAGGCGGGGACTGCGGCCGTGTCTGGGCGTTGCGATTGGCCGGCTGTGGTTTTTGAATGCGGTTGTGAGTGTGGTGGTAGAGTAACAGTGACTTGGCGGCGTAAATGGAAGGATGCAGCTCCCAGCTTGGATTTAAATACTGTCTGTTCAGGTTTACGCCCCTGGAATCAGTCCTGTAAACAGAATACCACTTCATGTTAAAATGAAATAATGACATTTCCAACATCTACCACTAGATGGGGAAGTTTCACTGCGCAAGATTTCCTCAAACAGTCAAGTTTATGGTATTAACCTGAAGATTTGAGGAAATGGGTGGAGCCTGGTGTGCTCCTGCTCAGGATGGAACTAAAACATGCAGCCACAATGGCCCTTCGAGGACCGGTTTGACACCCCTTACATTCAGTATACTCATTCTACAGAAGAGATGTTTTCAGATTCTTAAATTTAAATGTAGAATAGAAACATCTTCAAGATCATGTACACAAATGTAACATCTGATCCATGTTTAAACGGTTGATCACCATGGCGTCGTGGGTAGGTCAACCCGCCTATCTAAAGCTCGGTTCAGGAGTCTGGGGTTCGAGACCGACCTTCCCCGACTCTAACCGAGAAGTCCTTGATAGGTGAAAACCCTCACGCCAACGTGAGGAGCGGTCTGTCAGCTCCACACTGCACTCACTGTGGCCCGAGCCGGTGTTAGGAGCACGACACCGGGCAGACATGGACGTGTGGCTGACCTGATGTCCTAGGTCAGGTTGAAAGAAAACTTGGAGATTGATGGGGGGAGGGGGGCAACCTTTTGATCCAAAAGCACACATGGAAATAGTGCGGTGAGTTTGGTGATTGTGAAGGTTCTGCCCTAGAGATTGTTTCTTCACCCTTTAAAAAGCTGCACTTGTGTATCCATACAGGATTTAAATAAAGGATTTTAACTTGGGTGAATCATTGGAGTGGAGTGACTTAGGCCTTAGGCCACACACACATTACACACAGAGCTGCACTTATGAGAGACAGATCTCACAACACTGGATATGTTAGAGTTCTTTTCTCTTTTCTCTCTCCCCTTTTTCCAATTGCTTTCAATAAGTTTTGCCTCATCCATCGCGACGTCCTCAATGCTTCAATATGCTGTGCTTTGCACTGATCATAGCCACAGCTCATACAAATCACACACCGCTTCTTCTATTTAAAACTATAGCGGCTGCCTGTTGCCTAAAGCCGCGGAGAGGCGAGTTGGGTCCGATAAAAGTGTATCATGCGCTAAATAAGTATAGAAAACAAACGAAGAGGCTGGATCATAATAAATGCTGCGGACACAGGCCTAAACACACATGCACGCACACGCCTCCCACCACACACACACACACAGACACACACAGGCGCTCTCACGCAAAAGCCCACGCTCACGCACACATGCACGCCGACAACACATGACCCCTCCATCAGCCAAACATTCATTTATTCACACAATGCCCAAACGTGTCGCCTACAAAAACAAAGCAGACGGACAGCAGCCAACGCGCGTCAACGGAGACGCGACCGGTGGAGTCCAGGCCTTAGAGTTTTACATCCATGTAATTCTCCAAATACTATACTAATATCTATAATAATCAATATTTCTATTATAGGGTATTTATAGTGTGTAGTGTTGAAAAGAATGAAATAATAAAAACAAATAGGAAATCAAACCACATTTTTCAGTTAAGGTGCAGTAAACCAACAGTGTATGTCACAATCTTGTCTTGAATGCAACTGTGGTTTCAAGAGGCCAATTCTTTACTCAGGGACATTCAAATTATTTTGTCAATCACCATAGTCACATGCTCTCAGGACATAACTCTCTTGACTCTACATACTTCTTTATTGCTTATTGTTTAAAAAGATGTTTAAAAGAAATTCAAACAGATTATGTCATCTTCAGATATATTCTCAACATATATATGTACTCAACAAAAAATGTTCTGATTATTTTTTCCTAAGCTTGTTTTTCCCACTTTTAGAACTTGATAAAAGCCTAAGAATTCCAAGTTGACCCTGATTCCATGACCTTGTTTGTCAGTTGTGGGCAGTGTTCAGCTCGAGTGTTTAGTTTGCTGTGACCTGTGCTGTTTGGAAAGTGTCCAGAGACAAAACAGTGAGTGATGGCTTTCCACTAACATGTGCATTTACAAATTGGCTTTGTAAAGTGATATTCTCGCCACAAGACCCACACACAAGGAAGTAATAGGTGTAACTAGAAACGCAGGAGAACGTTTGCCTGAAGGCCTCTCACAAAACTCTGTTCCACACGCAATTTATAGTTTAAAATCATCTGGTATCTTAATATTCACGGTAATACTGATCAGACCGTGACATAATGTAATACTTAGATTGGTGAGAATTTAACAAATATGTATGATTGAATACAACTGAAATAAATGGCTTTTCAAACATAAACAGAATGATAAAAAAGTTAATTATATTTTGTTGTTGTTGTGTGATGGTTTTGATAATCATTTGTAGACATTAAAGCAGCTTTGCTTGTGTAAAAGACTCTACATGGCCTCGCACCAAAGTACATCTGTGTGACATGTTAGTGCCATATGAACTCGGATTCTGAGGAGTCAGGACTAAACATGAGGAGGCAGCGTTTCAGAATTATGCAGCTCAAATCTGGAAAGTCTTCTTGGAAATGTGAAACAGGCTTCTTCTCTGGCAATGTTCAAATCCAGGTTAAAAACTGTTTTGTTTAGCTGTGCATACAAGTGAATGACTATTTTTGATTTTTGAATGCACCATGGTTATTCATGCTAGTATTAAAATCACTTTGTTAAACTGTTGCTTTCAATTGTCTTTTGAGTTTTAATTTGTTGATTTTGAAATGCTGGCAATATACGGTATAAAGCAATTTATTGAATCCTCACTTATCTTAACAACTGAAGATATATAAAATCGCTCCCGGTTTGGTCACGTCAAATAGAGGACTTAAGAGGCCTTATTTTTTTTCATTTGGACCAGAATTTCTAAATGTCGAAAGAGAATAACACTTCTAATCTGATCCAGGGCTCGTAAAGAGGATTGACTTTTTCAGGTGCACCATGTCTATATGAACACTAGAATATTTAACAATTAGAATACTATAGAAATAAGCAAATGAGAGAAAACTGTTAGAGCTTGAAGGGACATGATTAAATGCCAACATCTCCCAAATATAATGCCTTTCCAAGCTTCTTACACCGTGAATTTGACTCAAAATGAAGAGTGATAAAACAAATACAACACTTGCCTGTAGTGCCCTCGAAACACTCCGTCTGGGTTGAGCAGTGGGATGAGCTTGAACACAAACATGTTTCGAAGCACGTGGGCGCGAGGGTCGTCTCTCCTCAGGATAAAATTAAGAAATCCATTGAACACAAACGACGCGGGGGTTTCTCCAGGGTGCACTCTGCTGCTCAAGAAAAACACCTGCAAATGCGTACACATAAAAGAGTATTTTTACTAATGGTCTGAACCCCATTGTGAAATTTGAAAATTGTACCGTTATAGTGATGTTTAGGTTAAGACTGTTTTATTTTCATATGAATAACTGTGAAAGTAGAAAAGCCCCCACTAGTAATCAAACATGAACTAACTTTTTAATGAACATCTACAATTCAAGTAATTCTAAATAAAGGTGCAGTATAGGTAGTATACCGAGTGCAGTATATAACCTGCACTCAGGTTAGCTTTAAGCATTAGCATCAGAGTAGCACCGACTAAAAACCACTTTTGGCCTTTATCATATCAACTATTTCAGACAGAAAAGTGACTCAACCAATCATCTCTTACAACATACAAAAGATCATGAAGACATTATGACAAAGATTGGCAAGACTTTTTCTCTTGGGGAAAACTAAGCGTATTAGTTATTTGTGATTGGGAAATAGGTAGGCACCCCAGTTTTATAAAAGAGGACAATTCATATTTTTTTGGATGATCTTCTTGCATAAATACACCATAAAGTATAAAAATGTTTGTCGATTATACCTTTTTGTTTGTAAATCGGTGCGCTCGGGGGGTCTTGGTGTCTGGGAACAGATGGGGCAGGCGCGGCTCCCTCTCGTCCATCATCCCACTGCAGTTTGTCACTGTAAGCAGATCCACCCTGTTCCCATCCAGAGAGCGGCACAGGAGCTCCCGGTGGAAGTACACGCTCTCCGGAGAACTGAGAGGAGATGGAGTTAGGTCCCAACACAAATGTTAACTATGAAGTAACTAAATAAGCCTGTTTATCTTCATAGTACTCATTTAGTTCCTTCAGATAATACAGTATGTCAACCTTTTAAATTCAATTCAATGTATTCTTGTATAGCCCTAATACACAACAGTAGTTATCTCGGAGGACTTTACAAGATAAGAGTATCAAACAATTGAAAATCAAAAATGCAAATAACACATAGAGCCATTGGTCCATAAGGGGCAGATGACCATTGTAAATAATTGTTGATAAATGTCCTTTTGCCTGCCCATGATGGGTGTGTCTGTCTTATTAATCCAGTCATTCCTTAATACATTTGTTTTTAAGTTAATCAGTAATATTAGCCTTGTAGGTCCTGCAGGTTCTATAGTCTTGTAGTTGCATTTTTGAAGCCTATGCTAAAGGAGTCTGAAATATACATGGTCCGTTTTGAGGAGATTTATTGATATGAATGGTAAAGTAAACAAAAGATGGATAAATTATTAAATGTAACGAAGGCAAGCGGTCAACAAAGAATACGGCTCCCCATTCTGCCCTGACTCTTCACGTGTGACTTAGCCACGCTTGTGCACCTGCCCCATGAGCCCCGCCCCCTGCTGTGGAGCCACACACACAGCCACAGACACCCAGTCCACCCTGATCTGTGCACCAAGGGTTTTGAAATGGCTATTGAAGAGGGACCCATGTTGGTTTTGAAGAAAGGAGACATTTGTGGCCTTTTCAACAAGGCTTAAAGATGCTGTACCTGCTTGGATTGAGCTGAGCCGCATTGGGGTAGTTGTCATCAAGCAGCTGCAGCATGTCCTGACATTCAGTGTAGGAGAACGGGTAACAGAAGGAGAAAAAAGTAGTGGCTCCCTTCACTTCTAATATCCGATGAGTGAATGAGAGGATGAACTGATTATCAACATTCTGAGAAATAGAACAAATAATCAATTCAGGACATACATTTTTTGGGAGGTCTAAATTAAAACATTAGATCCGCACCTCTGTACTGGGCCTGTCTCGTACCCTCTCCCAGCGCATCTTGCCGGGGACAGTCCGGACAAACGGAGCCATGCCCTGGCTGTACAGCTTTCTCTGATTATTCATGTTCATTACATTGATCTTCAATAACTTTCCTGATGACACTCCACGCACGCTGAAGTAAAACCAGGATCTGAAACACAAGACACGAGAGAAGCCTTTTCTTACTGGGAAAGTATGGGATGGCAACTTTACATACAGTAGTATGCTGAATGGCACCACACTTTAGAAAGATTAAGCGTAAAGCTGCAACAAATAATCCAGTGTTTAGGATAAGATCAGATAAGATTGACTTTATTGATCTCACACTGGAGTAATGAACATGTCACATTTGGCATAGATAGAATCACTCAGATTGTGCAAAAGACAGAAGTGTGCAAACATGTTAAAGGTTAAAAATATAGTCTGTGCAGGATATAATTATGTACAATAAAAAAGTGGCAATAAAGAAATTATGTTTTTATTTTTATTATAGTAATCGATTAATTAATAACTGCTGAATACACAGACTCAACACAATTTTGGCTTGAAATATTCTTTATCAGATTGCACTCCAGCAGCTTCACACATTTTCTGCGTCAAATTGTATTTATTTTGTGTTTTTATTTTTTGTAATTTCATAGAAGCGTTTGAAACAACTACTCGAAGGATTATTCAGTAATTCAATAATAATTATTCAATAATCGTAATGAAAGACCTTCCAAAAGTAAAGCTTTGGAGACCCGATGAAATGTGATTCCTTTATAATGATCTAAATGGATTTGGGGTGAGCCTGGTTTGTCCACCCCAATTTGTTACGTGTTCTTGTACCTGTTTCCATTCTCGTGCTCTGTCCCGCCACAGTCTGGCTGTGTCCACACGTTGAACTCATAATCAGGGGTTGGGTTTGGTGCAGACACGGAGCCGCCACTGGAGGAGGTGTCTGAGGGCGGACTGCAGCCACCTTTGTCCACCCTCTCCACCCGCGACAGGTTCCCCGAGTCGAACTTAGAGCTGAACACAATACTACCGAAGCGGACTTCCATCTCTCACGCTTTACACAGCAGGTCCTTTTAATGGGTATCGCACAGGAAACCTTTAAACTGTAAAAATAAGGAGAAAGAAAATCAATATAATAATTTAGCTAAGGGGTAGAAAATGGATGGATGGCTGGATGGATGGATGATGTGCTCATAACATGCTAGTCTTCATGCTGTCCTATCACTGGTTCCAGGAAGCAAGGCTCAAACTGAGCCACTGTCGCCCCTAGTCATCAGTTGTTTTGCTTCAAATCTTCTCATTTTTGCAGTTTTTACATACAAAATAGTTGTAAGAAAAATACATGATACATTTGTCGACTGGTACACATTTTGGTCAACTAAGATACAATTGATTGGACAGACCTAGCATTTTATTTTAAAGTATTTCTGCCCCCATAAATTCTGAACAAAAAAGTATAACCAGGTCATGTGATTGTGACATATCATGTATTAGCACTATTTTATATGTAATCTCCGTTTATGACATTTTTCAGCAAAAGCAGGCTTAGAAAAACATTTATTTAGATATGGATAACTTGCAATATAAAGAATACGAAAATTTGGTAGAGAAACACAGAATAGATAATAGTAACATTGCATGAGACACAACTGATGACAGTAACCCATAGTAAATGCGAGTGAACAACAGCACCCCCTGTGGCGGTTTGACAGAATACAACAGACGGCCATTTGAAAACATAAAAAAGAAAAGTGCGTTTTAATTATTTCTACGTGTCAGCAATACATAACGGCCATAGCAGGCAGTTAAAACAGCGCTAACACAACACAAGCTGTCAGTATCAGGTTATAGGGTAGCTAGCTGGGTCTAAGAATACAGTCAATGGGGTAATAACATGGCAACAATAACAACAGCTGATCCATCATGTCTGCACAACTCCCGAAACATTTAACACTCCAACACCAGCTTCAACAGATAAAACAACACCCTGCTTGCATTTCAACAGCCGTGCACATAGCAGATTATCCAATAGCACCGTGTTTATATCAGATTACCTCCGTTAAACGTTTCTAAGCTACAGTGGCTAACGTTAGCTCTCGAGGCTAGCATTCACCTCACCCAGCAATCCTAGCTACGGCATGTATTAAGCAATGGTGTTTATGAAGTGATTTGGTTGGAAAAAGCTGAATCAAGAAGTAAAAGCATGTGTCTTACGCTGCTATTTCTGTAAGCGATCCATTTTTGCCTCCTCTTCGTCAGCTCGATTCATTCACTGCCCTTTCCTGTTTAGAATGGATCCTTCTGACCAGAGGGTACGCCCACTACGCACGTCCTCAACCGTAGACTGTAACAAATGGGTAATAAAATAAATAAAATATATATGAATACATAAATAAATAAAAGCTGTGTCATTAAAATCATTGCCATCAGCATCAGGCAAATATATAAAATGTGAAATAGTAAAAATATATAGACAATGAAAACCAAACCTCACACATAAAAAAATATTATAATTATTAATCTTTATTAAGGACACAATACAGCACGGACCATAGTTAAACATCAAATATGTTGCTTGCAGATACAGGAGGGTCTATGGACATTGATGATCCGTCACATTTATGTACTTTTGTCATCCCGCAATGGTCCAATATGACTCCTCTGTGTTTGTTATTGATTATCTGATTTGTCATTTATGGATGTACAAAAATAAATTGAATTAAAATCTAACTTTATAATACGCATATAATGTGTGCAAAAGCCATCCATGGCAAAAGCACACATTGCATTTGACTATATAGTACATTTTGAATTGTATTTTATCTCAGTAAATTTTGAACAGTATACCTTCAAACCATCGAAAAGAAAAAGTACATGTTATGATTAGAAAGAGAAATCTAAGAATATTTTGGAGTTCGTATCAGCAAAAGCACGTATAACCTATTACTACACAACAACGCAGGAGGGCGCTGTGCTTCAACTAATGAGTTCGTGCACCTGCTTGTTTACATTTTGAAAAGCGCAAACGTGAGATCCCTTGTTTATTTAATTAGAATAGTTTTATTGCAGATAGATCAAACTATTTAAGTGTTTTAGGTTTGGATATCGTGCGTATTTTGCATAACCAAATTACGCACGTCTTTTATAACTAGTATTGCGCATGTATGAGTAATTAGTGTATAGCTGATTACATACTGTACCGTGGTTTGTTTCTAAAATAGTCCTTAAACATTGCATGAATTACCTTGAAGCAGAGCGCTGTAGCTTTAAGAGGGCTGAGCTTTGTGCGCTCCAAACCTCTCCACTGCTCCATGTACCTGCTGCCCACTCCTCTCCTGCGTCTTGATTGGCTGCGTTGACTGAGATCCTCTTGAATGATTTCAAACCCAAGTGTTTGGGCAAGGAGGAGGGGGGCACGCTGCTAATTCCTCTCGCGTAGTGGTGTGCGATGACCAGCGCTGTGTGTAGTGGATTCCGATTCCTCGCTCGCGTCGCTCCTTCAGCTAAAGAGGCTTATCCCGAGCGGAGGCTGCTGACCTGAACTACCCTGAACCGCCGGTGTGTAAAGTCGGCCTCCAGAGGTGCGCCGTTTACGCACTTTGGACCCGAAGAGGAACGCGCTGGTTGCTGTTTTGTTTTTCCTTCGTTTTTTATGGAGCGATGCCTACTGGAGCGCGGCACACATTGGATTGGAAGTGACAGCAGCAGTGCGCGACAGGAGAGAAAGACAACGCGCTTGGATACAGACTGTAAACCCTTTCTTTTTCTTCTTTTCTCCATGGAACGTTTTGTTAACATTTAGAAAATCTATTTTATTCAAGAAAGAAAGCAACCAGTCCATCAACACATACGCGCGCGTCAATATTTACAGCCGAAAGGAGCGCGCAGCAACATTCCGTCGTATTGTTTTATATTTTCTACAATGTATTTCAACGCAATCCCACAGCTAAGGCTGGGCTACATGTGTTTGTACTGTTAATTTGTCGTTGTGCCCGTTTTAAACTAACTAACATTATTCTACTGGGCAAAAACAATGGCTAAGAATCATCCCGAAGTTGCAAGCGAGGACTTGAGCCAGCTGTCAGACGATGATCTTCTACGGTGCGGCAAAGATGAGCTTGTCCGCAGACTACGCAGAGTGGACGGGGAGAAAATGAACTTGATGATTGAGCACGGGAACATGATGAAAGACATCAACAGACGCTTGCAGGTGCACCTCCATGAGATCCGCAGCCTGAAGGACATCAACCAGAAACTCCAGGATGACAACCATGAGCTGAGAGAGCTGTGCTGCTTCCTGGACGATGACAGACAGAAGGGGAAGAAGCTCTCTCGTGAGTGGCAAAGGTTTGGCAGGTCAGTATGATTAGATAAGATAAACCAACGTGTTTTGATGATCAACAGTATAGTATAACTGACTATGAAGCAGTCTCATGAAATTTGTTATTGTTTTCAAGGTTTGAAAAATGGAATAAAAACCTCAGTGAAAAGTTGGTCACAAATCTCGAATTAGTAGCTACCGATAACACACACAGTAAACCAATTCATTACTACAGAAATAGTTGAAAACATTAACATAATTTATAACCCTAAAGTATTTATTTGGTTAACTTTGTATTCAATGGGATTCTAAAAGTGACAGACTATGTCCAGTAAGGTACATATTGTCACCTCAATTATAGCTGGGGTACCACTTGTCACTGGTAAGTAGTTACTAGTTTGGTTCCACCAGTAGCCGTCTTGTGCATGTATTTTTGGCCTCTGACATCTTAAGATAAACTTTTTCAGACAGAAACGTGAAAACAGGATCCCCTTCACTCAACCAATCAGCCCCAAATAGTGCCTTGCAGGGCCTTTTTTGTAACATTTCCATTCAAAATACAATGTCAGTATGTGTCATACAAAGTCATGTTTGTCTGTATAACACAATGCAAGGAAACTCAAGCCACATTTCTGTTCTGATTTATCCATAACATTTTACTTTAAATCTCTTATTATTGTTCTGACAAAGGGAAAATGTACTTTTCATGAAAATTTTAAAACAATCTTTTAATAGGTTAACAACGTGCCAATCATATTCAACCTTTTCTGATGAAAATGCTTAAGATTGTGCTTCCAAAACCCACAGATATGAGTGATCCGAGCCCGAGGAGCATCTGTGTGCACTATAGTACTTGGAAATAAATAACATTAAAATGTATTTTACCACTATGACAGCAATCATTTAATGTGATACGATGTCTTCCTCTATGCGGCAGGTTCACCGCCAGCGCCATGTGGAAAGAGGTGGGCACTTACATGCTGAAGCTGAAGGAGCTGGAGTCCAACCAGGAGAGTGTTTTGAGGGAGAACAACGAGCTGAAGGAGATCATCCTCATGCTGGACGAGGACCGGAACGGTGCAGGGTCCAGGAGCTCCATAGACTCACAGTCCAGTCTGACCAACCTGAACGGGGGCACTGGGACCGTCAGGGATGTGGGGGACGGAAGTAGCACCTCCAGCACGGGCAGCGCGGGGAGTCCGGACCACCACAACCACAACCATGTGCACAACAAGCCCGCGGCAGAAGGCAGCAAGCTGGGGACAAACATGAGGAGGTCCATGGACGACCTGTCCGCGCCCCATCACCATCGGAGCATCCCCAATGGCCTCAACGGTGAGTCAGTGTTCAAGTTCCAGTTCCATTGCTGAAACTGGTTTAGCAGCATTTTCTGAATAGTTTTGCACACACAAAGGGATGAATGGTCTCGAGAAAGTAAAAATAGTTTAGGTCAGACTAGGGTTGTGCCAAAAATCAAATGATCGCTATCTCAAATTTGTTCAATCTCAATTGTGTGCAAAGACACCTATGCACCGAAATGTATACACGATTATTAGGTTAAAGCTGCGGTACCTCAAATATATTTGATTTTTGGCTTTTTTTAAATGCTCCAACCCAGGATTTTGTCTGAGTGTGGGTTGTCCTCTTCTTTTAATTTTTTTGTTTGAAAAAGCTGATCTTAAGATGTGACAGGATCCAACAATTCCATGACATAGATTTCCCCCAGCTTTAATGCATCCCTTCTGGCTGTGTGCAAGACCCACATCTGTTTTTCTTTCTAGTTTTAAAAAGACAAACAATTAACACAACATTTAGATTGATCAGCATGAGATTGTATTTACTTTATTCCCAGATTGTCCAGTCCTAGGTCATAGGACTATGATTACTGAGTCAGATAAATAAACAAAGCTGTTCCTTAATGACACATTAGATGTTTTTCAAAGCATCTATCATAGTTTTGTGAAAAATAAAATGTGAATGTCTTAATTAAACAACAAAATATACTTTCCTTTTCAGGCCAGGTTTAGGATGTCACAAGAGGCACTGGAAAATCAGTCAAATCCAGTGCACATTTTCTATAAAGAGCATTTGTATACAAGTAATATAATTTAATGTTCTCCACATCAGTTGAATTAAATGTCAGATGACCTGTGCACATGACTAAACTAACTGCCTTGTAATGTATGAACTATTGATGAAGTCTCAAAAGGACTTGAGCCTTCCCTAGAATAGCTATTCAATCTGAATTCAAACAAGGACATACTTTATGGCAGCCACACGTGTTATTTTGAATGGTGAAAAATAAATCTTTAGGCAACCGCACATGATGAAGGTAGATCAATTATGTCTGTTTTTTTTTTGCTCAATTTTAGTCAGAAGTATAGTCTGATCAAAAAAATGAAACTGAAACACTAAGAGTTTTGGCTTAGGACTAAGAAAAGGGGTTGACCAATATGGGGTTTTCATATTAAATACTGATAATTATTGGTCAAGGATGCCAAGAATTGATACCAGGAGCTAAAAATGTGTTAAAAAAATGCTGTTTTTTATTCTATGGTTTATTCAACAAAACAAATGCCACTAAAAAGAATAGCTCCCACTGTGTAGACTGTATGTGATGTTACAACAGAATTGGATAGACTTTATCCAAATGAAGTCTGTTATTTTAGTGAATTTTGACCAAAAATGAAACTAAACTAATCAGACAGTGCTTTGTTTAGTCAAAGTAGACTTTGTTTCCATGAGGCAGAGCTGTTGTGTTGTACAGTAGACTATACATGTTTGTGGTTGTTTAGTTGAGTTGTATCATTATCGTTCTGAAAAATAGGTTAGACTAGACAATCTTCAAATTAACCCACCACAGTGAATTTAAAAATTTTTTTTTGATGGGAACTGTTGATGTTTTTCCCTAATTTATGCCAACCTGGGTCATTTAGACCGTTTAGACCCAGTTTTAGGGTATTTTTCTTCTACCTTTGATCATTTGTGGCAGGTAATTTTACCCTAAGGATTCATGAGGGTTAACTAGTCTGAAAGAAAATTGGCAAAAATATTGAAAAGATTGATCTACCCTCTAAAAACTATTTCCACTTTTGTCCACCAATCAATCTAAATCGACCGTAGTAGGACAATAGCTCGTGTTTATTCTAAAATCTTACCCAAATCATGCTTTAGATTTGACCATAATGCGATCAGTCATAACGATAATAGCTGTATACGCACACACGCATTGTTTTATGATTGTTTTGCAGTGTGTGTGTGTATATGTGAGAGAGTGTGTTGTGTGTGTGCACGTGTGAGAACATGCTGGGTCACTTTGCGGTCACATTTAATACACTCTACACATCTGACTCGTCCTGTGCTGTGCATCATCACGGCCGGCTGAAGCTGGAGCTGGACTTGATTGCGCTGAAAGCATATGCTGATCAGAAATGCTGCGTGGGATTAGCAGGAGGGGGCCGGGGCTCATGGGGTCCTGATTGGCGAGATTATAACACACTGCCACATGGACGCTAAGTGGCCTTTTCAGTCTCGTGTTGTCAACCCATCTCCAAACTGTCGCTGATTTAGGTCACTGCATTTCTGCTCCTTGAGGGAAAGGACTTGTGCTAATAGCATGTTGAATGAGGTTTTTAAGCAAATAGATTTTTTTTATTTATATATTTCACAGCACAGTTCTGTCTGCTTTGAAGAACATGAGACCAGAAATCAATGCAGCTATTTTTTAAGACTATTACTAAGCTGAGGGGGAAAAAAAGCTGGGAGATGATGAAAAAGCAGTGATGGCACAGGAGGACACTAAGCCCTGTTTAGCTCGCTTATGGGTTGATGCCAAGAGCTGCTTAGCATAGGGAATAATATAGATGGGAAAAGCTTGAAATCCTGCTAAAACTACAGTCACATGCAGGGTCCAGTGTTTCCCACAGGTTTGAAGGCAATGTGTGGTGGTCGTCGGCGGGGGGGGGGGGGGGGGGGGTGCTGGTCGGCCGGCAAAAATTAACAATGACATTGTTAATTGGTCAAATAAATGCTTTATTGGACTGATCAAAATATCAAACATTATTCACACGCTGTATATTACACTATAAATACTGTTAACGCTGTATAAACCTACTTGTTGCAAAAAATAACATTATTCACACGCTGTATAAACACTATATTACACTATAAATACTGTTAACGCTGTATAAACCTACTTGTTGCAAAGTTTGCATGTTTTATCAGAGCACCTGATTTTTCGGGGCTGGCGAAAAAAAGATTTTAATGCCATATCATAAGGGAAGTCCTCAGGACAGGGTCCATTGATGGAGATCCTCAAGCAAGCTGCCAGGTGTTCTCCCTGCAGTTTGTTCCTGAGGTCTGTTTTCACCTGGAGATAAAGCAAAATGATAAATTATTATCAATGCAAAATGCACCAATATAAAGACAATGGGAATTTTTTATTGCTATTACCCTGTTCATTGCAGAGAAATCCCGTTCACAGTTCACAGAGGAAACAGGGATAACCAAAGCAATGCTTGCCAGAAGGCTCAGGCAGGGGTAGAGGTTGGCCCACTCATCAAACTCACTTGCCAGTAAACACAAGAGCTCCTCCTGGTTCTTGTTCTTGAAAGATAAGGGTTTGTCGTGGCATTGTGTGTGTGTGTGTGTGTGTGTGTCAGGTCAATTCACTGACCTTGAATATAATATTGAATATAATCAATTCTATCTCGTTCTCTCCCTGACCCTGTCTTTCTGCTTGAGCAGCACTGGTTGAAGCCTGAAAATATTGTAAACTTATATAGCTAATTACACTGCGGACTGTTTCAGACCGATATCTCTGGTTCAGGCTGATCCTCATCCTCAACGCGTGTCTTTTTCAATCGCGGAAAATATTGTTCAATACTCATCTGGATTGAAGCAGCAAACATTCAGTGTAAGAGTAAAAAAATGACATAACGTTACTTATAACTTTATTTCTTGCTACAGCTGCTACATAGTGTTTTGACCCCGACAACCCAACTACATACCGCAAACTTGCGACTAATTAACTTTATAAAGAAAGCGTCATCGCTTGTTAAGGGAGTCGGGACGGAAATTCAACATTGACACTGAACATTCAGCACTTTTTAATGTGTGATTTACGAGATCACGGGATACCAACCTTTAGTGAACTTCACCAGCCGTCTTCTCTGCACCAAAATTAATAGACACAGCTGCTTACAGCGATGATCGCTGATGGAGACGGAGACACGCGGTGTGCACGAAGGGGAGGGGCTGTGTGTGTGTAGGTCTCTGTATGTGGGAGAGACGCGTAGCTTGAGTGAGAGTTACGAAGGGCCGCCACATTTTAAACCCCCCTCCCCGCTGTCAAATTGACCGCTGCGGCGGCACTAGACGATGCATGTTTTAAATAGCGTAACAAAAAAAATATATATATAATAATACGAAACGCAATTTGTGGCGGGCGGTCTCTAATCTGTGGCGGTGCGCCACAGATTAGTCTATGTGTGGGAAACACTGGGGTCCTACCGTTTGGTTTCCTACGCACATGCTACAAGTCCCAACAGCATATTTTTATTCTTTTTGTCGATGAGTTTCTATGCACTGTTGTTTGGCAATTGTGGCTGGCTACATCCAAAATCATAACAAATGTCTCCTTATGACTCTACTTTGTCCCTTCTCATTTTGATTGACTCTTGCGGGATTCACTTTGAACTAAGCTTAATTAAATAATGCTTAAAAATATACTTACATTCACTTGGCTAAACCTGGAGCTGAATCCTGTGTTATAAAAGGTCAGTTTTCAAGAACAAGGTTTTGGATGCAGCCACTGTTGTTTTCACCTCTTGTAGAAATATGCTATAACGTTAAGATGTTAGTAACCATTTCCAGTAATCAAGTTTCTAAAACACAAACTCTTTAGAGCTCTGCAGCCATGTAGGTGGATTTCTTTTATATTTCTATTGCTACACATAAAACGCTAATTCTGTATTTAAATTAAATACTAATGGCAAAAATACATCCTTTCTCTGATTATTATTAAGAAACTTCTTTCTTTTCTTTGTATAGCAAGTGCTCTGAATCTCAGCTTGGACAAATATTATTTTGGCGCCACCTGCACGTGAAGCCAGTTCCCGTCTGAATTTAAGCTAATCTGGACAGGGCCTGGTCAGTACTGAGATGGGAGACCTGGTGCCACAGTGGGGAAGCTCTGGCTGTAAAATACCGAACTACTGTTGTATCATTGGGCAAGACACTTCTCTCACATTGCCTAGAACGTTACAGATTGGTTGCCTCGTTTCTGTCCGTGTTCCCCAAGGCTGTTTTGTCTTCAGCAGTTGCCTATCACCACT